TCTCCCTGTATGCGAATACGCCAACCCCTCTCGCATGGCATGACATGTGCTCCTGGGGAATCTTTGCAAAACGCATAGAGCTCGTTGTCGACCGATTTATATCCTGAATCAAGACTTGGCAGTGGGGAAATGGTGCGGCTATCAATTTCAAACCCTGTGTTCTTCATCAGGTCAAAGAACACCTCCTCGCTATTGTGCCGTTTTTTCAAAGCCACCAGCACAATCGCACCAGGAGAAATTTGGACCAGTGCTGTAAGCATTTGGATCAGGGCTGGGAGGCTGTCCGCATTATAAGTACAATCCGAAACAACAATCAGATCATAACCATGCTCAGCAATTTCGTCTGGCATAGATTCATCCCAGTCAAGGACATGGAATCGAGCGGTGGAGAATCTGGCAAAAGTGGCATGTTTCAAATTGCGGCTGATGATATCCCGGACCTCTTCGAGGTCTGTAAGCAGCACCGAGCACTGAGGTACTATCTGAGCGATTGCGAGTCCGACAATCCCGCACCCTGCGCCTAGCTCGATGACGCGAAGTGGCGTGTTTTTTCGCTCATAGAATAGTTTTTGAAGTGTAGGAATTGATCCTCCTAGGCGCATATATGCGCTCTGAAGTTCCATCACACATCCCAGCGCAGCGTCCCTGTATTTTTGTAGATGTTAGATGACGTTATGTGAGTAGTTATATATAAAAGATGTACCAGCGACTGATTAAGGAAAAAAAACAAACAAAAGGGATTTCCTCACTTACCATATATGTCGGGCGATACTATTACCAGTCTCTTCCCAAGCTCTCAACTCTGGTCCAATTTCGAGCTTAAAACATCGTTCAACCAGCTTTTCAGCCTGTGGGCCATAACTCCCCCCAAAGTCAGCACTGCAAGCAGTAACGATGCTGGGCGCCTTAGACGGCTCCAAGCGGTCGACCAGACCAGCATTGGCGTTCCTCACACTGAGTCTAGCAGCTTGATTCACATCGGAGATCGGACACGGCCCGAGAGCTATCTTCAGCTCTCGATCTCCAGCTTTCCACTTGAATATCTCGTCGAATGAGGTTGTTAACTCGTTGTTTTTGGTAAACTGCAATAGGGAAAGAAGTTCAGTGTCTTCCGCAAGGAATGTATCCCCCAAATCCGTCGTGATGGTGATCAATGCTTCAACGAAGCATTGGCTATTAGGAGACACCACTATTTTGGGGGTTTTGAGAAATCGGATGTAATGGGGCATAGTTTAAAGTGGTTGTGGAAATATTAGTATTCCTGGGGAACGGGCGCCTGATAGATATATTCTTAATTTTTATTTATTTATTTAATTTTTATTTATTTTTGGACATCGTTTGCCATGCACGCCTTTTTTTTACAGCAAATTTCAGCAGGTTGTATGGGATAATAATATATCTGACATTGAACAGATGTTGACGCACAGATTATCATGTCCTAACTCCACATCTTCCTTTAGATTGCCAATCCCACTGCATTCAAAATGAAATAGAGAAATAGTATAGAAAGTGAAATTGCACACAACAACAAGCCTTGGTCTCATAAGCCAATAAATATGCAAACAAGGCAAACTTCTGGAGAGGCTGACAAGGCGACCATTCTTGATTCTTGACCACGTTTAATATCGTTGCTGTGATGCACTTCCTCGATGGTCGATGAAACTGAAATTTTGTAGGAAGGGCAAGTATTTACAACCTAGCCTTCTAGCTTACCAACATCTCCTCCCCGCTGCCAGCTTATTCCTCAACCGTTCAGGATTTACTCATTCAGCCCTTTTGAATGAATGCTGCACAGCGTGTTTGCATGCTAGTATGTATTGTTCGCCAGCAGCATCTCTCTAGAATTTTTCTTGGGAAAATACGATTGGCAGCCGCACGGCATGTCTTTGGAGACCCTCGTATTGTTGATGTTCTCCTGCAATGCGCATTCAGGGCTGATAATTCTCGAGTGTCGCCCTCTAGTTGCCTGGTTGCCTGATTGCCTGATGGCCCACGGGCAATCTGCAAGACTGTCTTTCGTCCAACTCTGGAGACCACATTTCCAAGGCCCCCGCTGAGAAGGAGATTGTTCGCCGATAATAAATATACGGCATGTTGACTCAGCGTGCTCAGCTCTGCCTGCAGAATCGAACTCCGTCGGGATCCTTCAATCGCTCCAGAGCTGCTGCGCCAGCCCATCGGCCGAATTATCGTTGGCAAACAATCAAATGCAGGGCGCCTTCAACTTTGAAAAGCTCGACCGAATCCGCCCCACAAAAATGTCTGCTCGTTTGAACTTCATTCTTTACCCGAGTGAGGACCTAGTAATGTCAACAGTTCTAGATTCTTACGTACGTAGTTATCAACTCCAAAACTAGATACCAATATACTGAATAATATTGAACAGTAACTAGTTGTTGGGATTCATGGCTATGTAAGCACCATAAAAAGCACTTGAAAAGTGGTGCCAGAAAAGAGAAAATTAGACTCAGTACATCTCAGACTGCTATTGTTGAAAGTTTCTACGTTATGAGTATAAGCTCAACTTCTGAA